TTTGAGATTATTGTGCCTGATCCTTTCGATGACGGCTGAGAATAATTTACTAGAACGGAATAGAGCAGAACATTAGTCGAATAGTAGAAATACAGCCGAATACTTGTACCAAAAGGAGGCGGTCGACCAGCTGACCGTCTCTGGCGATTTGCCAACCAACTTATCGATTTTTCACCAACTTCGCTCCAATGGAAGGTGGTGAACGGCAATTAGATTTCGTAGTTAGCCTAGCGAGGGGCGGAGGGCGACCGTGGCTCACTCTCCGGTCCCTTATTGTGCCCTATCCAGACCGTTTTCCGACCTCATTCCTGCACAATTGGTATCAGAGGGGGCGTCGAATACAAACCATGTGCAAATCTCCGAAACCATTTTTTCGTGAACTGTGCCATTAAAGGCAGTTAAGCATAAGTAAACAAAAAAAACTTCAGTAAGAGCAAAAGTTGCTCACCTTTTCAGCCTCAAGGAGTACGAAATTCAATCAGGGATTGTGGCAGCAAAAAGAATAACAGGGGAAAGAAGAATGGGAGAAAAGCGTCGCCTCATCACTCAGTTATCAGCTGATTGTGTGTGGGTCCTAGAACGAATAGTTGCAATCTGTGTTGTCTCTACACTCGTCTGACTGTCTGACGTGACATCGATCGAGAGGCGGGAAGGTCATTGACGTTCCCGCCCATTGAATTATCGTGAATGTGCCTTTAAAATAGCTACCTCAGAATTACCGCGATCTGTGTCTTTTAGGGGGTGACATGGCTATCACTCACTAATCGCGTTTAAGATTCCACTCTTTATTCGACTTCTACTCTCAATCGTAGCAGACCGTGAATGATCTGCTCCACCTAGACGCCACCTTGAAAAGTCGTGACGTTGGGATGACCCAAAACTAGAGATGTTGGCGGTGACTCCGTTAAATGGAAAGCGCAGCCGGCTCGGCTTTCATAAGAAGCAACACAAGTGCTAGACGTTAGGTTATATAGAACAAGGCGTGATTGTCCATCCTAGGATGTGTTCCAGGTCCCATCATCGTAGTCCCCATGTGTTTTGGGGAGGTGGCTGTGGTGAAGTTTCCCGACTCATACCAATTTAACTCTAGTTAATTCAACGTTAGTAACTTACCTCTTAACATACCTACTACATTGAGGGGAGCCAGAAAACGTCCAAATTTTGCTAACGTAAACATCGTCGTTTTCTTCTAGACGATGGTAGCGGTGGACTACGATGTTGGTGTCATTTACTACCCTAGTTGCAAAGGATTCAACAGGAGTGAAGCTGATCATATGTGGAGGCAATTACTTCTCATTCCAAATGCTGCGTTTGCGTAGACGATCTATCGAGTGGAGTTCACCTGGAGTGTTTTTCAGAGCATTCAATTTACGAATGATAGATTCGGAACATTTATTGAGAGCCTTCGTTAAGCACTGCAGTGAGCGGCATTTAGAAATGTTCGAGTTCATGGAGAAATTTATGAACGCTTACACAGGTTCGTCTCATTCACAGTCCCACTTGATTCACTTATCAATAGTCATCTAATACATACAGAGTGATGTTGAAAGTTAGAGCACCCCTTCAGAGTAGCGAAAACTCCAGCTTCAAAAACTCGTCGTTCGCAGCACTTCAATACTATTGAAACAGCGCTCCCAATAGCTTATACTCACAAGTTGTCCAACTGTTTTCTATGACTTCACATAAAATTGCTAATTATAGTAGTTAGGATAGAGTACTTATCGCAACAAGCTTTGCGCCCGCTTCCTCATACATTGGTCTTCCATCTATATCCGAGTATTTTAGGGTAAATATTCTTTTTTCAGGTATTCCAAAAGCATCTCACATATGGTTGTGTACTCTAGCTCATAGCTGGCCAAAAAATCTCTATCACGCTGATGTCCACTTTTTGGATTTCTTCAAACGGAATAAAAAACATTTCGACAACGCGTTTCTGTTTTTCATGGGCGATCATGGTCCGCGACAAGGAGGGGTAAGTTTGTTAATTGCAATCCTCGTATTCTGCAAATCGCTGAGTTCCAAATACCGTAAGGTTTCGCCGGCTACTCTTAAGCCTTCCGCGACTTTTCCGCTGTGAATTTAGTAGTCTCGATGTAAAAAATGGTCTCCTACTCTGACTGAGCCTACTCTCAAATGCTTGCGCGTTGGGAATTCTCAGGAATAGCGTTTTTCACTGCCACATCACTACTACTCTCACTGCTTATATAGGCCGAGATCAAGCCACTAGTGAGTTTCAATATGAACAAGGTCAAAGCTCGCGATAAACAGGGTCATTAACACCATCGTATCAAGTACTGACTGCTGTGCCGGTCGTATTGCAAACGTTATCGTATAGTTGAGTGGGGTGCGCTTCGTTCCGCACATCCTTCGAAACTGGGCATGTGGACTTACGTGCGCCAGAGGATGCGCGCGGCGAAGTTTGTAAGGATTTGAACGACTTGAGCGCATATCATTGCGGCCCAAGTTTGACGTAGCACAGATAGGATCTAACCCTACTAAACTACTCAGGTTCGAGTTTGTGCCCCGAAAATTGACGTCAGAGCCGTACAAATCGTCACGAACTTCTCTGCGCATTGTCGCACGCGTCTTTGAACGCACGTAGTGCACGCCACCCGTCGAAACTAGGTTACGCGGGAGCTGTCGCACGCACCACGTCAGCCTGCGATTTTTGACAGATGTCGCAGTTGTCAGTGGAGCGTACGATTGATGCTTGGCCCACAGCAGTCAGCCTAAAGAGAAGATAATACGGACTAGTGCAAATCATTCGCTCTACTGACACTTAGTGGTATTGTAGTGCCATCTCGAGATCGCTGTGGGCTGAGCCGCGTGTGAGTGATGCCCCAGTTTCAACGGGCGCGCGAAAGGGATGTTCCCAGGGTGCAGCAGTGCCTAGAGCGATATTCCATGACAGAGCAGCAGCACTTGAAGCATTCAATAACGAAACTCAACCATTGTCCAGTCTTACAATCGCTCCTCGCTGTCGTGTCTTCACAATCGCTCCTTTTTTCATTATATCTTTTATCCGACATTCATTAGTAATGCGGTTGGCTTTTGTGTTTTGTGGTGAGCGCCACTCTATGTAATACTATGGTGACGGATTGTTTTGAGGAAACTCTGTTGGTTTTTTTTTAACACAAAATAACTACAACAATAAAGTTAAATCAGCGATCGAGATTGTGGTCCTTCCTAGCCACAGTGCCTCCCTATCAACGCAGCATGGCACTGATGCCACTCCTACAACAAAAAAAAGGAAGGCGGGGAGCATTCCATTCATCTACTACCCACTTGATTTCCTGACGATTGTCGAATGTTTTTCCCTTTGGAGCAAGCATGTATGCTTCTGAAGGTATGGCAGTAATATGGGTTGAGGCCAAGTGAATACGCGGGGAGTGAAGTGGTCAGGTATACCGAGCCCTTCCAGCTTATCCATAGGCCTCGAATGGGTTAATCGAGCATTATTCATCACAATTAAAGACCTCCTTGTAATCAGTGTGAGATGGGGGCTCGGAACACCATCCTTCTTTGTTCTTCACAGGATACTCCTGCGTTTACCGCGGTTCAGTCTAGTAGGTTGTTATAGTAAAATACCCGGTTGAGCTGAGAGAGAATGAACTCGTATCCTTCTAGGCCTGAGGGCCTCACTTAGTAGCGAGCTGTGGCAATACGTCCACTGGTGAGGCATTGCAATTTCCTGCGTGAACTTAGTGCGAGCTGTGGCAACACGTCCACTGGTAGGCATTGCTATTTCTTGCATGGATTTTCATTTGACATCATCTTTTTATCCTAAACAATTGTGAAGTCGATTGATTTCGTTGTCGCTTACAGTCGAGGAGTTTCTGACGAACACTGTTCGCACTTGACGCTCCTGCTGTGTCAAGGACGTGCGTTATTCGCATAGTCCTGCCTTGGACGTGACTTAGCCTAGGACGACGGGGGTGATGGAATAGGGAGTAGAAATCGTCTCTTCCATTTGTTGCCACCTTGGGGAGAATTGCTCCGACGGGAGGCCGGAACGGTGTCGGTATTTGAAGGCAAAGTACATTCGCACGAACATTGTCGAAGCAAATCTCTTCCCAAAAGAAGCGATGATGCCATTTACGGTAGATGACAAGGGAGGGTGCACTACTGTCCATCAGTCACCACATCTTATTCCAAGCCTGAGTGATGGAGCGATCAGTTTCGTAGCGGTGGCTCCGGTAGTCGTGTCGATTGCACATACATATGTACTTCGGCCTGGAATTACTTACTCACAACGGCCACGCCAAATACCGACCAGCTATAGTACTGATATATCAGCAATGTCCTTTTCCTGCTATCGAATCTATTGGCCTTCATTGGGCGTTCGAGAGCAAAATGCTTCCACAGTTGAAAGGCAAAATTCTCGCAAAACCTCCCTGATATCCTATTAGTAGCCGTAGAAGAAGTAGCATGTTTTGGGCAATCTTTGAACTTATGTTTTTTATACAAATTCGGTCAACAGCAAGTTGTTGGTACCGATGGCGGTTGCCGGTGGGAATCTTGAGAATGAAGTCGCATCTACTTTCAAACTAATTTGATTTTGACTACTCGATTCCGTGTTCATGCTGACGTGGCAGACCAAGTGTAGGCGCATTACGTGTTTTACATTCAGCCCTGGTCAATCCAAGTTTTCTTGTATAGTGTGGGATTTTCTTTTTAGCAAGTCAGAGTTTTTCAGATTCCCGAAGTGAAGCTTGGGCGGTATGAGAATTTAAATCCGTTCCTCATGGTCAGCATACCGAAATCCTATCGTAACACTGCAATTCATGAACAGTTACGAAATAAATCGAGAGAACTCATGACGAATTTCGACCTTCATGCCACTTTCATGGATATTTTAGAGGTTCCTTTTATTCATATTATTCATCTGTTAATCAAGGAATACATTCAAAGCGGCAAAGATTCCCTAGGATTGCTCCGGATCTCTGTGTCTATAGAAGGTAGTAATGTACAAAGTTAAGGTTCAAATGAAGTCGAATTTCTCGGATACATCATATCGTGAACCGCAAGATAGCGGCTCATCGCTCTTCAGAGAGTGGCGAGGTCCAAGAAATTGTCGTACACTACCTATTCCATCTCAGTATTGTATTTGTCAGTACAATTGGACCGACCAAATGTCAGTTTTCGTTTCAGTTGTTATTCACCCCGTAACATCCATTCTTTCATTCACTGTGCCATACCATTGTTCTCCTATACACGAGAATGGCCAAACCTACCCTAGTATGTCATCGAACAATTGTGGAATCTGGATTCAAATTTGCATGCTCTAGTGCATCCAGAGCAACAGATCACATTGCACAGGGGCACAACATGCACAAGAGTGGGCGGTGTCATGGGCAAAACGTCCTAACTAGGCTCCATACAACCCAGACGCCGGGAAAATATAAGCAAAGGTGAGGGCTGGGTTAGCTAGTGGAATGAAGGAAACTCGCCGGCGGTGTGTAGAATATTCTCGCAAAAGGCGATGTTTCCCATATAACTTGTGATCCGATTCAAAGAAAGTGTGGAGGCCAGATGGAAAAGCAAGAGGAGCCAGCAGGGCTCCATGCGTGCCGGACATGCATAAATTTACGAAGCTCCGCTTCCTACGAGGCGAGGCGTGTGCTAAAATAGAAGCTACTTCGGAAGAAACAATTTTGCTCGAAAATGTTCTAGAACTTGGGGGAAAGTGTGGTTGAAGAAGGGATGTTGTCTAATTCTCACAGTGGGCAGGGCTAGAAAACATTCATGCTTTGTTCAAAAACGTTCTAGAATGCGGGAAAGAAGTGGTTAGCATAGTAGAAAATGTGTGGAGTGGGCGACGTTTGTACTCAAATGGGAATGAATGAAATCGAAATTTATAACTCTGTCCAAAAACGTTCTAGAAGGTGCAGGAGAGTGGTCAATATGGTCAATATGGTCAAATCCCTGACTTGGGTGGAGTTTGCGCAGAGCTGAGTGGGGCTGAAATCAAAAATTCATGACTCTGTTTGAAAACGCTCTAGAATGCCAAGAAAATGGTTATGAGCATCTAAAAGAAGGGCGGTCAAATTTTTATAGTTGGAGGGGCCTCTTTTGAGATGGACGGGGCTATGGTAATCGTGAAATATATCAGCAGAGTGCCTTCAAAGCGGTACCAGCGTTTACATCTAGTGCGATTTATCTTATTCTGTAAACCAAACATCCCACTGAATGAATCCATCGTAGATGAGCGTTTATGGACACGTAATGCACACGTTAACGATAGCCCAACTTATACAGGGTGAGCCAAAATTATGATTGCACAGACATCGCATCCCGAAAACGAATAGAAGCTAATAGAGTAAGCCTGTTTCAGAAAACTATTTATTATTATTCTTTCAACAAAATAGTACATTGAAGCTGGGATCTTTTGATATCTGCTCTCACCCGACCCCAGAGACGGCGATGAGCGGCATTTACGGTGGCACACAGCTAAGGTCGTCGAGTTGATGCCGCCTTTCTGCAAGGCATTTTCGAGATTATTTCTATTCTTGTTTGGGCTAACGAATGCTTTCATCTCAGGGGCTGGCCACACTGAGACATCCATGGGATTTAGGTCAGGACACCAGGATGGTCACTGATCGAAGAGTATGAGGTCAGGGGACTCCTTTCATGGAATTTCCAGACAATCTCTGATTCTGATCTGCGGTGGGGAGCTTCATCTTGACAATAATTTGGTTTGAATCGCCAAAATGTCCCATTACGTACGACGAGATCGACCAGTTTTCCATATTAACTTGTACTCCTTGATTCACGAAAGTAATCGGTGTTTTTGCCCTGGCGGTGGTGCTCGCAAAAGCCATCGCAGAAAGCCAGTGGGCCTAGCGCTGTATCACTTTCATTTCTTTCAGCTTCATTTAAAGCGTGTCGCCCTGCTGACTCAGCACCTTTCTATTCTCGAATATCTTTTCGTCGGTGAATAGGAACTCCCTACGACAATTTTTTCGGATGCGGCGGGCAGCTTTTGTGAGATAACCTTCTCCCTTTGTCCTGCTCATTGGGGAAGTCGCTTACTGATCGTATAGAGGCCTTGTTGTGCAGATGGTGCGTCATGATTCGCGCAGAAAATTCGTGAGATATCCATTCATTTAGCCATTCTGGACTCAGAATAAACTTCGCTGCTACGCAGACTTTCGCCCTGCTTCCTTATCACTCCCCCTAAATACAACCGCAGGCCTCTCAGGTTACTACGCCTATCTGCAATTGTTCCCAACTCTCGAAAGCGTCTTACGGTTGACTGCACCACATCCCTCGTTACGCTAAGTCGTCCGTAGAAGCACCGTGCCAAAAGTGCTTCGAAATGCAAAGCGACGATTGATTCGCCGGGTAGTGATGCTAACATTGATTTCAAAATCTATCAAAAGTTTAGTACCATTATGAACGCAATAAAGTAAGATACCTTGTGAAATGGAACAAAGCGAACGAATTGTTATGAACTCAGAAAGAAATTGCTGTGTGCGTCAGCGCGCACTTTAATCATAATTTTAGCCCACTCTGTAAACTATCACCGGTCTTGAAGCATTCATGCTCGCAAACTTGATACTAACCACCTAACAGACCATTGACAAAAAGGCATTCGACCACTTACTCTAGAGCTACGAGCTTCGAGCATTTGAGTCATGTCAACCTACTGCGATCTGTTGATCAGTCTTGCAAATCAAGATCGTCGTCTACAGCGACCATCCCCTATCACTAGTTCGTCGGCTTGCGTCTGAGGCTGCTCCCTAACTTTGCCCTCGTCCCTAAATGGTACAGGGTCGAGCGGGACCCCCAAAAAGCGTGGCCTGCAATTGCTTTGCCTAGCAATGTCAAGGGCAAGACGTAGGTTACGTAATGTGGTAAAGACTTGTTAATAGTATTATCTTGTGTTTTCATTGCGGTAACGTCCGCACATAGATTCTAGTTGTTGGATTCTTTGCTCTGTTATTCCCGGATTCATAAATACTCACTGAACCATACTCAGTCAATGAAATGTCGAATCCGATTTCTTTGCAGAATGTTGGAAACTTCAACTGTAATTGAATTTTTTTTTTCAGCGATGTGTCCGTCCAGAAGGAACTGGGAATTTTTCTTGCAAATGAGTTGAAGCGTCATTTGGTTCAAGAAGGACTGGGAACGCTTTGTCATCCCCAGGCTTACAGCTCGGTCGGGTTCCTTCTGAATAGTTATGGAAAGTATTTGCTGAAAATTTCGCAATAATCCAGATTTCTATCGAGATTTTCTAGAAGCTTTTATGAAGTTCCCATGAAAATGACTGTTCATGCGTGGACGCATGAAAGATACATTCATATAACAACAGAAGTGTCTACCAATATCTAACACGTGCTCTTTACGAGTTCGTATTCGGCCATTCCGCCGCAGTACGATCACTTAATTGCGCTGTCGGGAAATCTCTTCACACTCTGGAATCTTATGCTGGTACAGGTGATCAATGGTTCTCTTGTAATTCCACGAAAGCCGTCAGAAAATTCCGGTAGCTATCAGGACTTTTGTGAGATTTTCAGCAGGTACTTTCCGCACCATCTATATGTTTTCCTTATTTTCTTTCTTTCTTCTTTTGAATTATTCGGTTGGCACGTGATTTCTGGACCACTTTAGTTTACGTTCAGTTCTATAAAACCTTATTCGGAGAATTACCATTCGAATCTCGCCGTTTCCCTGACGAGCTGTCAATTCGCAAATGTGATCCTCCGCACGTGCTTCCCCTGATCATGTACATATATGATGCTCCCTAAACCCGGGGATGGGCTTTGGGAACGGCTCTGTGTGATCGATTCGCCGCACGCGTATGTCGCGGACCACTCGTTCCCGTTATTACGGCTAGGCGTTCTCTATACAGCTCAATCGATATGCGATCGTTATTTTAGGCATGTTTGGTTCGTATGACTAAGAGGCGAAACGAACCAAAATATGTATTTCTTAGTATTACCTGACGTTGGTCTAATTCTCAATTGGTGTTTACGAAATGTATTTCTTCATGGCTTAATGATACTTTTGTTGGTCTTTTGCACCTGTATTTCTTACCTGCTGCTGCATTCAGCTTCATCCCTTAGCGCGCGGCGTCCCTCTCTCCGCGACGCGATAATTCCGTTTCTATTGCACCACACACAGAACAGGTGAATTGGTGATTTAGTCGGTTCAAAAATGACGCCTTTCTCATGAAAAAGATCTACACTTGATTGCAATTCCAATGTACCCTGCCCGAATGTCCGGTCAAGAAGTTGATGATATGAACACCGAAATCATTTTCCTGTGGTAGCCCTTTACTCTCGAAAGAACTTCAATCTAGCTGAGTAACTCCTCATCCCCCTTTTCATCCTCATCTTGTACCAACGGATTACCAAACCTCTCTAAGCCCTTTTCCAGAAAAAATAACATCAACAGGATGAGCCTGAAATTGACATTTAATTTTTTGGTAAAATACATTGTGCTCTACGAGGGACGTTTCGAACAAGTACGCAAGCGCTGGCACTGTGTTGAAAATAATAATGGCGCATATTTCATTGAATAAACATGTTAAAGCAATAACAAAAAAGTAAGAACGAAAAGTTTCCAAAAGGCCCGGAAATTGTGTTCCAACTTATGTAAGAGATGAAGCTATTGGAATTCAAGGCTGTGATGAAACCAAAATTTCTGTTCAAGATATCGAGTATAACTATGTTGGTGGACGGCGATCTTACAGCATACGACGTTGCCATCTATCTGAAGCCATCTGGCGCTCTCATTTCGGTAAATTACTTACATGCTATATACATAAAATTGCGTTATCGCCGACCTTTTAATAACATTTTCTTGAACATACCCAAGAATTGGAAAAGCAGAACTAGTGAATATGTATCAGTGAGTGAGAATCCGCCAACGCGGAAGTCTTCTGCGCGCTGTCTATAGTGCAGGCTGGCTGCATCGCGGAAAAAGTGTGGATTTTGTAATTTTTCCCATTCCATTTTTGATTTCTTATCTTTCTTACTAACGAATTAGGAAATGTTGTGCTTTTTTGGAACAAGCAGAATAATTCAGTTGCTGGGCTTCATGGAAATTCTTGAGTTTTTTGAACATTGAAATTTGAAATTAAGAATTCAGGCACTAGTTGGCGATCATGCAGATGTGCTGACCTTATATAGTGGATTCTCACGGCTGAACGCTTTTGGTCAACAGGGTGATTGCCTTCCAGTGAATTCTCCATGGAAGCCGTTTTGTTATTGTAAGGCGTTGAAAAATGATGATGTTACTTATAATAATACAACACCTTAATGATATATAATATAATAATACCGAGCACCTTAATGAAAGACGAGCCAGTTCACAATGATTTTGAGGTATCGAATTCAAGTGGAAAATAGGCTCTATACTAAGGAACTGTGCAAAGGATATAAAGAAAACGCGAAAACGGACAAATTTTGAAAATGTAAGTCTTCAAATAGGAGGGTAGGGTTGTACGAGATTGTGACGACAAGCTGCACGAGAGACATATTCGTACGAGATATCAGCTGCCACAGTAGCGTGAAGATTCGGCTACAGAAGTCAAATTTGGCAAAGACTTAGTTTATGGCAAAAAAGGATCCGTTAAGTCTGTAACCGTCTGAGCCTCTCTTACATAGACGTACTATTCGTTGTCATCCTGACGCTTCAATGTGAATCGTGCAGCCCTAACAAGCCCGTCATAACACGGCCATTTTTGGGTGTTCGCGTCGGCCAAGATGATTTTGAAGCTATTGCAGCCGTGTCTAGGCCATCTCATTAACCATTTATATGGGCCACAGACTCATCCTAAAAAAGGAATCTCAGAACTGTTTTCATTGTGAACTGTGCTTTTAAGTTTGATGTATGTAGTGCTCAAGAGTTGAACACTTACAAATGCGCATGTTATTATGGTATTTTAACCCATGACCAATTTATATGTTCTTTATTTACCATTATGGTGATCGTACAGTGCAGGTTTGTAAATAAACCGGTTAGTGCGAAGCCACGGCTCGAAAGTGAATTTGTAAAAAAACGGACAACAAACGTTTTATACATCAATCGATAATCAATCGATAATTTTATGTGAGAACCAAGCGATGGCTATCATGATGAAGGAGTAGTTTGAACAGTCCCTCCTCCTGTTGGTGCTGCTGCTTGTGATTTCACTCGATCCCCGTGCTTATTCAGTGTCCCAGCGCGAAGAAGTTCAATTTCATCTTTTATTGCACCGGGCATCGTTGGTGGTGGAGCAGTTACCTTGAGATGTGCTTTTGAGAAGTACTGCCCAGTCAATACTACGCATTATTCACCCTTACCTCATGAGGCTTTGGTGCAGGCGAAATCGCTCGTATTTTCGGCTCCGTTTTTACATCTGATCCAAATTGTACATGATTTTTATGGACTTTTCCTTTGCCTTCTGAAATATCTCAGGTGTAGGAGCAGTAGTGCAATAAAGCAAATGACCACTGATTTCCCACTGCCTGCTCCACCGATGTACATACATACATACATACATACATACATACATACATACATACATACATACATACATACATACATACATACATATATACATACATACATACATACATACATACATACATATCAGCTCAGTAACTTATATTCCTTTCTCTACATTCTAGCTTCGATATCTCAACTCCTCTGACTACATCTACCAGTATGAACTGCTTTCGAATGCTTGTAAAATAAGCAATAGTTCCGATAGATGTCAATCGAAACAAGTAAGTCAACGTTATTGCCTCACTGTCTCTCACCTTTTAATAGCCCAAAGACTTTACTACTAAGGAGAGGGCCGTTATGATCACTAGGCTAAAAAATCCCACAATCCCCTTTGTAGGCAGAAATCACTACAAAGACCTGGTCCAGCTCTTTTCAACTTTTTCCTTTTTTGCTCCGAACTGAAGAGCTACGACCGTTGAAAGGAGGCATAGTGCGGAATATACAGAAAGGCAGACAGACACAGATAGACAAACAGACAGACAGAAAGATGGATAGGGAGACAATAGACAGACAGATAAAGAGGCAGTCGTTCAAGCGGAGGGAAGAAGGCAGACCTACTGACTGGGTGACTAAGTTAATGAGTCATTGTCAGTAGCTGAAAGATAGAGATTCAGACAGACGGACTGGCAAACCTATTTAGTAGGCAGAGAGACAGAAAGAAATACAGTCCAGCGGACTGGACTGAGCGGCCAGAATGAGCAGCTATGCGGCTGACTGTTTAAGAAGGAGGCATGTAATCAGACAAACAAAGAATGGGACAGATAGACCAGCTAAGAGGTCGTTGAACAGGTACGGACGTACATATGTACCTAGAACAACCATCATCAACCACCAAGCATAATCTACCCGTCATCATAAAGCTTGGCTACTTACCAGCCGACATGATGAACGAATGAAATGGCACTGAGTCGTAATGAATCCGCTTTGGCTGTTTTGATTGATTATCATAATCACAACCTTGGTAACAAAGCTGTCAGCCAGTAATAATTCTGAGTTAAAGTTCTATCGGAAACAGTCGATTTGCTTGACACTTCGCGATCTAATGATATTATAAAACCATTGGCATTGTTCTAGAATATCAAACCACTTGTCCAAAGTTCGAATAGAAACTCATCGAGATTCAAAAAGAGTTCAAAATTGTTATTGAGAAAGTTGTTAGCTGAAGAAATATTTCACAAAGGTGAGTAGGAGTGCCAGTTTCCCTACCATGAAATACTGATCGTTGACTCCAGTAACTCGACTTTGATGAAGAAAACCTCCACTTCATTTCGATCTGAGCAGCCAGGTTCCTTGACATGGCCCTTACGCTGTTCATGTTATCCAATATACTAGACGTACTGATGTGTAACGCTTCTCAGCAAGGCCATCATGGCTTTTCCTTGAATATGAAATTTCAATTCTAGCTGAATAGTACTCTTTTATAAATAGAGCTGACTTGCTCTGTCCAATTCCGGTCAGAATACCACCCATCATGTAAGTTCAACAGGAACCGAGGGCTTCTAAGCAGGATTGAAGCTGTCGACTATTAAAGCAAATTTGATGTAGGCAAAGTGGAGCCAATCAAAATAAAGAGAAATTTTGATTTATATAAAATAAAGGTTTCCTACTCTTGGTTCTCTTGTATTAGGTGGCTATCTTCGAGGGGTTAAAGAAGTGTTTGGCAGAAATGAACATCTGCGAGGAGATTATGAGCTCATATTTCTTAGCAACTGAAGCGGGAGGTCGCATTTCTATCTTAGAGTTGAAAAAATCTTGAGAAAACGGTAGTATTGCTCACCTCTGTGTTTTTTGCACGTCTCCTTACTCTTGCCCCATCCTACATACATATGTATGTGGTATTGCGGGTAAGATTCAACATTTGCACCCGAGGAATATGAGTTCAATTCCTGGCGTCAGCACAATTTTGGCTTTGTCAGAAACATGAAGAGACTGAAATTGGGGAGAATAAAATCCACAGTGTTGGAGAGCGTGGTGTCTTACGGTGGTTTGTTTCATTTTTGTCGATTATTACATTCACATATCTTTCTGATATCTATCCTTAAGAAGTATGCATCGCCATTTACCAGCCTCGAATACGATTCACGGGCGAATGTGGTCAGCGTAGAATGCTGTGAACAGCACTCCATTCATTTCGCCGAGTATGCTCTGGCACTTTGGTTTCTCGATTTTCATGGACAGATAATCGTGAATTAATTTATCGTTGGCTTTCGTGCGGTATTGCTCGGATTACGGGTGCATGAGGTCGTATACCTAGCCTGCTTCTTTGAATCCTCTGGCATAACGCCGACCTGGGGCCGGGAACTTTTCCCCGAAGATGGCGTCGCGCACGCCGCACCCGCTGCGATGGAGGACTGGAGCGCGCAATTTGTGAGGTAGGGAGTTCTTTAATTATTTGAATTGGCTGACCGCTCGCTTCCATTCCAATGCGGTATTGATCGTCGCTAATATAGGAGGAGTCATTCTAATTAAACAAGTCAAAAATACATAAAAGAAAACAAGAAAANAAGGCAACCAACGAAAAATATTGCGTCATATCGATTGGCGGGGGGCGCGGTGAGTGTGGTAATTGCAGTGACATTTGCCGCATGCCGCAATCGGGGGAAAGTTCCGTTACCCCGCCGACCTGAGCATCATCCCTTCCATCATCACGCTTTTCTCAGTTCTCTCCTAACTTCAGCTGACCGGCATGAGGAACGACACGAGCGAAGAATGTTAAGAAGTCTGATGTTGAAATTCAGAAGTTTCGACTTGAAATCGAAATCTTCAAGGGTAGGGAATAAGGGAGTGGCGTAGTGTGATTTCTTCGTGCAGTGGTTAACGCTCACGACTACTGCAGGCAAACGGGAGTTCGACTCCCTCCAACGCTAACCTTTTGCAAAATAAAGTTTAGCTCAGGAAAATGGCGAGTTGTGAGAGTGTAAACCTTCGGCTTCGGACGGGTGTGCCATTCAGGGATGTGCTTTTCTGTGCTCAATATAACTCCACTTCGGAAACTTTCAGGAACTTCTTCATCTTATTGGATATTCAAAGTATTTCCTGAAATTCGCAAAAACTAAAGGGTATACAAAGCTGTGTGAACACTGTAGTGGAGTATCACCTATAATACTTTATCGTAACTGACCATAAACACAACCAATAAATAAAGCGTTTCATGAATATAAATTGGTCTAAAACTTGGCAACGGTCACCTCGCCATTGAAACGAGCACCGAAATTCAATGAGAGCTTTTGCATGAACGTATTCTTCACGATATTCCATCGGTTCCTAGTATTTGCCACATTACGTAGGGTCACCTTCACTGGCACCGTGTATGTGTGGAATACGAAATCGGCTGAAAGAGGCACATTACCTTATTTTTTCTTTATTATAATTTCCTTAGTTTAATAAGAGTTCTTGTATTCTTGAACCTCCCGTGTCCAACTTAGTGAAACTTTCAAACCTTACCTGTCCCTCCAGGAGACGTCTGTGCAACAGCTCCTGCTTCGACTTTTCCATAAAGTGGTCCAACTCCTTTCAAATTTGTAGTAGGATTTTCAATCTAAATAAGAATGTGACGATTCTAAGAAAAAGCCGATCTATTGTCAAAAGAAGGGAAAAGCCAAAAAGTTGAATTACTTGCAGGCAGGTAGATATTTACAGACAATAGATAGTACCGGTTTTTTTCGTTTTATTTGTTATCAATGATTTTGGGCTGAATAATATTGTTGTTTCCATACAGAAGCGCAATAAATAAAATTCAAAAAAACACTTTTTTCAATAATCACAAGTTTGGATCCCGGACATCGTACAGGCATCGTCACAGTTCACAAAAATTTTGAGGTATCAAGATCTTGTGGTACGAGATAGCGCGGAGGTGGGGACAAAAATGCAAGAATCCAAAGGCTCTAAAAAGATAAGAGACCTAAGAAAAAAGGAAAAAACGAGGAGCTGTACTAGGTGCATGACACTGAAATTAGAGGGAATTATACGTTCCGCGAACGAGTGTTACACTAACCCCAATATTACAGTAACCATACGCTACAGAACCCAGAGCTACAGTAACCCAGCACTACAGTAATCTAGCACTACAGTATCCCTGGTGCTACAGTAATCCCAGTGCTACAGTAATCTAGCACCAAAGCACCCTAAAACTTGTTATACCCTCGAAAACGACAAGTGCTCTCCTTGTCTTACCTGAACGGGCATAAAGTCGTTCGTGACTTCAACACCGTACAAAGGCATGTTTGCAGCCGTCAAAGCTTCCAGCATCTGAAAAATTGCTAAAAATGTATTTTTTACGTACCTGTTGCAAGATTCGTTGCTGAACAACCAATATTCTGAGCGAATTGACCCACTACTCAAGGAAAGCTTCTAGAACTAGTCGCGGGGTCTTAAAAAACTAAAAAAAAAATTGGGATACCCTTCTTGAACTCTCACACTCACACGGTCGGTCCCAAATGGTGATCCTACTGTGAAGCTGATTTACTTGTGATTCGCAACTGACCAGATTCCAATCCATGAATGAGCCTTTCATCATTTTCCAATCCGACTTACCGATGCTCGAATCTCGGCGTTGGCTTTTTGTTTGGCTAGTGTAGTGTCGTTCGATTGCCCAACAAAATACCATATTTGATAGTTGTCACTGCTCTGAACACACCCTAGTACAGTAACATTTAAAAAACCGCTTCGGACCCTCAACAATGAAGGGACAGTCATAGCGAGATGAATAAGGGGTTCACATGGGAGCATACCGTGAGACCAACCTGTCCCTGTCATGCTGTACGAATCGAATTCGGTCTAAAACGGAAGTAGAAAGGATAATAGTATTTGATCCGCGAAAACACTGTATGAAGCAAGTTCGCAATCAAACGAATATTTGATCCCAAATGAAGCTCCATTGCCCCACATATTTCAGAACAGGATCGTTCTATGTCAAGTATCCTTTTGGTCCTAGTTTTAGTTTAAATGGTCCGAGTACTTTCTTGACGATTATAGGGAAGATAACGAAGTTGATGATGAGATGCAAAGGCTTTTCTTTACCTGACCTTGTTGGAGATAAACTGATAATACTCCCTTACCTTGGGAGGGAAGTAAGTCCAACCAACAGGAGGGCTTATGTCCATATCGAATACGGGGTCCTCGATCCATTCGTAGTCGTCCGAGCCCATGCCTTAAGAGTGAGTTTTATAGTTATGGATATCTATGAAAATTTTGATTGTTGAGAACTGGGGCCAGAAGATTTTCAGCGTTATTGAGTTCACTCGAAATCAAAATCTGGCTCAGAAAGTGCTTCGGGAGAGCGAATTCTGAGTAGGTTTGACTGGGTCTACTGAATGCTAAGAGGGCAGCGAGCTCTCATTGCTGGTCCCAACCCCATCTGCTTGAATCGACCGCATGTTTAAGCTCTCAAACATAGTTTCATAGACCGCAGATTTGTCTATAAAGGCAAACTCAGAATTACCTACCCCATGCTCGTCCTATATTGATCCATTTAGCATCTACTACCTTCTCAGCATATTGAATGGTGGAGGTTGAGCTGCTACTATGGATGTACTAGATCTTTTTGGTACGGTTCCCGATCGGAACCAGCGCCCAGCCCGATCAATCTTCTCGTTTCATCGATGCCGCTACTTTTCGCCGTATCCGTTCCGTAGTATAGGTAAGAGAACTGGGCTCCTTACAAGCCATTAAGTCACAGCATGAGAGTCATATTCAAATATAACTGACATTCTCAGAAGCGGGCGCAAGCGGACCTTGGATCAAATGACTGAAAATGGGCGAGAAAGAAGTCAATTTTTTTTTTCAAAGACTACGTCGACATGATGAGTCCCTCAACGCATTTGATTAGAAGTAGCCCACCAAAAAGAATGCCTATACAATGTGGATAGGTTTATACTTGAACGGACCTTCTCTGAGTCAAGAATTTCGTTGGATTCAAACTCAACTCAAATCCACATGGAAGGAACTTCACCTGAGGAACAGCATCGTACGGCCGCGAAGATGGCAGCTCCGAGAAGAAGCGGCAAGATTCTGGTCATACTGTGATCGAGACTGATCTGAATCGTCTCGGGCCGCTCATTTTATATGGCCTCTGAGTTGGTTGTAAATGCTTTCCTCAGGTCTTCAGTCAGAGGTCGTATACGTAACGCGCCATGAATGTTTGCTATTCAAGAAACCTTGGTTTGCACCATTTACAGCGGCCAATGGTTCTTCTAAAAGATTCTATTTCGGTGCTCGGAACCCACTGATGCCCTTTCACATTATACAAACAATTAAGTAAAACTCATTGAAATTATACTGAAAGTAAAAACAATTTCGGGAAGTAATATAAATAGCGAAAATTCTGATACGAAATCCTTCACTGTCGGATGCAAAGCACTTACAGTAGCTTTGTTTAAGACCATCACGGCTCTACCATCCTTTTCGTCGAGCTTTCTCTGTGCACTCTTAGTGAGACATTTCCGCAAGGAGATTAGCAGCCCGAAATACGGTACCTACGATTAATAGATTCATGAGAAAACCTTTATTTACAGTGTGGTGTGGAGCCTGCCGAGATTTTGATAGCTGGGTGTTGCCCGTTCATGCTGGGTGAGCCGCTTCGGACTCACACTTCTGGATTACGTTCAGCACATGGCGAAGTTGGGCTCTGCGAAACTAAGTGCTGGAGGGATGAATTCATGGTGGTGGAAGGAAGGGGTGAGGGAAGTGGCAGAGGTGGAAAGCTGAAGAGAAAGCCGCTACTTGACTGAAAGAGCTGGTCAGCAGGAGCTACTTCTAAAATATGTAATCAATGGGCCATAAAGTACGAAAAAACGAGTCGTTGCTCGCAATTCAAATCCTTATATTAGGGGTTCTTCTGCGGAGAGGTGGCATTTGACTAAAAAAATATGGAAGGAGCTTAAGCGTACTTTATGTTCTCATTTTTTTCATCGACAAATCACTTCATTCCAGTTCTTGAGTCCGCTGAAGTCACATCTGTCGTTCTCTACTCGTTCCAACCCCAACTGTACATTTCTCTGACCCTTCTCATTCAGAGATCACCTTTAACTGGACCCAGCACGTGATACGAAGCAAAAAGGACATGTAATGATTAGTGAGCTCACCCATCACGGAACAGCTAACAAAGTTTTGGTGGTAGAGTGATCGGCTGACCGGTACTATATCAGGTGGTTGGAGGTGGGCAGATAATGTGAGCAGGATGTTGAAGTAAGAAGCTTAAGCTAAGGACTTTCTACTTACGATCTCCTCAGCAAATCGTAACGCTCCAGTGTTGAAACTCCATCATGTGTATGCTATGTTCACGTCAAAGGATCCCCTGAGGTTTCGGAAAGTTGCAGATTAGCAGCTTGCAGCCCCACCCAGTAATAAATGAGTTTGTTTTTCTTCCACAATTAGCGAGAATCGAAAGGTCTATTCGTTCAGTTTTTGGCGTGCTTTGGATTTTCAGTGAGCTTAGCTGCTTCCTTCGAGTAGGTTGTATTCCTCTCTTCCTTCGAGTAGGTTGTATTCCTCTGCCTGGAGCCAACATTCTGAGTCGATGTGCACCCAACGGTAAATCGGTCCCGTTACCATCTCTGCTTATCTCGGGTTGCAGTGGCAGTCAACAACCATGCTCTTCGAATGGTGAACAACCTCCAATGAGGCATAGACTAGCTAAGCTATCGTTACTGGTATGGTCCGAGGATCAGACCCCGTTTCAGTATAAAGGCTTAAAGGGGCAATGAGACGCACAAACTTAACGAACAAAACAAAAACTTACATTTAGTACTTACAGCACGTTTAGTACAACTTACATCTGGAAGAAATCACTGGGAATTCAACGCTCTACTTGTTTCTTATCCAAAATGCTCACGACTAAAAGTTTTCAACGTGATGGTAACTGTGCACTGACTATCTGTTTAGCTCTTATCAAAGAAGTGACCAAAAATCTTTATGCAAAATAGACGACATATGAGATGATAATCACATTCTACACCTTTATATACCAATATGTATGTATTGCCGTAATGTTTTATACTCGCTTATAATGATTACATCAACATTGGACTGTTCTCATGGGGCTCCTCGAAGTATACCGGTCTCCGATTCGGTGACAACAGGTTGGGTGGAATCTGTGGAAGCTGCCGACGAGGAACTGAAATATTTTTAATGAGCAATCTGGAAAATTTCGTGGAAATCCTTTCTAAAGCTGTCTTAGGACCAAGAAAGAAGACGGAATCTTAATCTCCATAATAGAGAAACCTCGGCTTTTACTTCAAAAGTTTTTGGATTTTTGTTTGGAGCTGAAGTTATGAGATTTTCTTTTTTCATTAGCCTACTCAAAGAATCATATAACTGTGCGACAGTATGTAATATCAAATTGTTGGGAAATGGGAACTGGGATGGGACATTTGGTGAAACTACCTGGGATTTACTTATTCCGTAGCTGGAACTACATATCAGAAGAAACTAACTTATAAGAACTTATTTTCTCTAGCGACATCTTCAGAATCAAAGCTATCCAAAAGTTGAAGGCACACAAAAACTGGGACGAGTAAGTGGGTTCCAAGTGTGGCGTGTAGGGCGCTGAAGGGTCAAAAACAGCTCAGATAGGGCGCGATAAGGGCTCTGGAACACACTTGGCCGACGCAGCTAAGCCGGTCCTGGAAACCTCAGAAACCGGTATAACTGAACTCTGCCTTATCAGGAAAGAATAGAATCAATGTAAGTCTTTGCAAACCTGAATAGAAATCTTTGAAAGATACTCGCACTCTTCTTAGATGAATATTATTTTTATTTTCAATTTGTTTTCTTTTTTCAGATCATTTTTTTAGAATTCTCAAAGGAATAAACTGAATAGTGAGAAAAACTTTTTAAAAAAGGTGCTTGAAAATACTTAGTGAGTAATCTTACCAGTCGGAGTGAGAAGAGGAAACGACATGCCAGGAACTTCGGCGATCAGATTGATCGTGTGGTAAGTCTTGGGTGGTGGACGACGTTTTGCCATTCGCTTTTCGATCAGCGTGTTAATCGGAACGATATCTGGATTGCACCTGGAAATTAGGTAGTTTCTTCGCTGGATAATCAAAGGTGAGAAAACTGAAGGTTTCCAAGCCACGGTATCATATGCCAGAATAAAATTGATGAAGGATATAGGTATTCGAAAGAGAAAGGCATTGCACATTATGAACAAGTGGGCGGAGCTAAGCACAACCCCGGGCAGCCCGCCCCTTTTGCAGGGCACCAATGAGAATGCGCGAAAACTCCAGGCATAGAAGGCATAGTTACAGTACCCCACAGCAGGATTTGATACTGTTCTCCTCATTTTTATTCTCGTTCTCGTCCCCTTTATAGAAAGGAATAAATTGTTGAAGTATCCAAATACTCCTCACTTCTTTAATTCATAGAATGCGGCAAAAAAATTAGGTTAATTTCCTCGCTTCATTTGATGAAATTATAGGTGATGTCAGATATCCAAGGGCAGTAAGAAAAGCTGAAGATGGTTTTTTGGGTCCAAAAATCAGAAAGTAAAATACTCACCATATGTACAGAAGCGGATTGAGCAGTGGACATAATCGACTGATTATCACCGGTACGACGACGTAGGAGACATTATTGAGGTCTGACTTCATCGGATTCAGGCAAACGATGGAATAAGCCAGGAATGGTAACGTCGACGCTAGTAGGCATCCGAGGCCGACCTAGAATACGACAATGTGAAACCCATTTATCGCTGAATGGCTCGACGAATGAGTATAAAAGAAATCCTCTCGAAATGTGAAAATAAATCACCTTAGCCACATTCCCTTTCGGTGCCCAGGTACAGCAGTCTGCCAGTGAGTTTCCATTTTCTTCTCGTGCTTCGGTTGTACTTTGCCTGAGACAGCAGTCTGCTAGTGAGTTTCCATTTTCTTCTCGTGCTTCGGTTGTACTTTGCCTGAGAAATTTCAAACATTCATTTTTGCCTTCAGGCAGTTCTACAAAGGCACTATGAATTTCAAAGCTAAACTTTAAGATTATTAGCCCCAATTTTCAGTTTAGGAGTGCGAGCGGTATCCTGGAAAGTGATTGCATGCCTCCGGAATTTACAGACCACAAAAGGACTTGACGCAGTAAGCATGTGGCTGCGTGGAGTCGACGATGTCAGGTCTAAAATAATTGATCTTCTCTCCCTGAATCCCTAGGTCACTGGAAAGGAACTATGCAGCCGTTGGGCTGATACCCCCTTCTTCATCCCCTACAATTACTTGAAATGCCGAAGTCAGGACAACCACTCCACTATCCGACCGTCACAGTAGTTTTGGTACGCCCAATAGAGGCCATTCGGGAGCGGGAGGGGTAGGGATTTACCAAAGTGGAATCGACTTCATTCTCGCTCCCGTATTCCTTACATTGACCTTTCCGAGCAAATCCAGTGATATCCCTGAGCGCCTCCCTAGACAGCGAATAGACCAGGATTGATGGGAGCAACCTATTCTGTCAATGTTTTATTGACCCATATGAGTTTTCTACAAAACGAAATACCTGTCTACGTGATCGATGATACTGTAGTAAAATGAGGACGCAATGCAGACTGGTATCAGGAAGAAGATCAAACAGGTGGCTGTAAGAAACGCTATATAATGATGCGCGGCTTCGGTTGACTCTTCTGAGCTGGCGTCAAAATCGCCCTGAAAGTATATCCTGTAGAAATAGGTGAGGTGCGAATAAGAAAACAGCAGTATGTACCTGTCGCCAATCTAGTGAACAGAAAGTGTTCCCATGAAATGTACTGTATTTACCGTATCCAATAACTGGTACAGCACTCCATAGAGTTGCGAAACCAGTAAGTATGACTATCAATTTTACATAATTGGAGTGACATCGCCATTTTCCTGAAAAATTGCCATCGGAGTTTGTCTAATTATGTAATTTCCTTTTACAAATTCATCTTTGAGCTTTTTCCACATTATTTTCTGTTATGGGTGGCCATGGTGTAGTGGCGCGACGCGCACTATCCGTGCGCCTGATCCCGGATCGATATTTGCCCAAGTCAACTAGGCAGGATTCGATGACCTAGACTTAACCCTGTTTCCATCTGAGTGTTGGTACTTCTCTTCGAACTCTCGTGGCAAGCAACATCGGTTTCGTAACGGCAACCGCATTTTTTTTAAAGAAATTCGAACCACTCTCTTTATGTCGCCCAATTGGGGTGCGGCGAGGGCGACGCGAACTTCGGGGAAAAGTACCCATATCTCTCCCAGCTTACACCTCTCGAAAAGTCTCCTCATCACTCTCCCTTCTACATCTGAAAACCTAGAAGCCACTTATACGGCTCCACCCTTGACTTATGGCAAGCTTTTGGCTTTTACAAAACATTGATCAACTTACCCCATTTCGGCGTGTTTGTTACAATGTAGCGATCGAAAGCGATTATGGTCGCCAGGATCACTTGTGATAGCGACAAGGCCATGTCGATTCCGCCATAGATTTGGCATGTACTGTCTGAGAACACGCCTCTGAAATTAAAGACATCAAATCGGTTGATGTGTGAGTCTCATCATTCCTACTCCTTGAAATCCTTGGCTGCTGTTGCTAAGAGCTCGCGATGCCTCACTGGTCTAGGGGATATGGTCCTCAAGCTTTTACGACACGATTCTAGGTGATCGCAGAGGCTTTTCCTTGGATGGACGGGGGTGTGTATTACCCCTCTGAAGTTCTCGGTTTCCGCCAGCCATTATTACTTCTTGTCATCCTCATTTCAACAAACTCGGTAATTCACATATGAAAACAATGTTTTTATCAACCGTCTTCATTTCGATTATCTTTTGACAGACGGTACCAACCCGTAGCAAGGAGCAGTCAGATTTTCAGTTCTGAAAAATCTGTAATCGACTCTACTCTTGCAAATCTGGAAATTAATTCTCATGCTCGACAGTTCTCAAGAAAACTCCAACTCTGGATTTGGATAAGTTGGAAGGAGGTACAATTCCAATAGTCACCAGGTTTATTTACTTCGTGGGATCAAGNCAAACTCGGTAATTCACATATGAAAATAATGTTTTTATCAGCCGCCTTCATTTCGCTTATATTTTGACAGACGGTACTAACCCGTAGCAAGGAGCACTTAGATTTTCAGTTTTGAAAAATCTGTAATCGACTCTACCCTTGCAAATCTGGAAATTAATTCTCATACTCGAGAGTTCTCAAGAAACCTCCAATTCTGGATTTGGGTAAGTGGGAAGGAGGTGGAACTCCAATAGTCACCAGGCTTATTTACTTCGTGGGATCAAGCTGATCCAGAAAATATTTTCATATTCATGACTGAAGTGAGGGAAGGAGTCAATGAAAGCAGGTCCTTCAGCAGATTTTTTCACCAAGCAACTCGTCCACTCTTCTCAGAGTTATCAGCTTTACATACGTTTCTTTTGCTGATTATCTAATTTGCTTAATTCAGCCACCATGAAACCTACCTAGCCAGACGCTTTGGTACTCCCTGTTACCTGACCTCACATTTTAACAGTTTTCTCCCACTTGAGAATGCCTTTTAAGAGGAGACTCATTTCCCGTTGCATATACCAGTATATACCGAAAGAGGCTTTCATTTCAGATATAAATCGAAAACGAATACTGAGTAATCGTCTTGTATGACCAATGATTAGTTTGGAGACACCGACAGAACGGAGTGCGAACCGTTTCAGTTTCCCCATCATACGCATTCTGTGGAAGAACGAGTATCCCTCATGGTCTTTAATTGCTAGATTGCTGGGTTTGTTGCAGAATTCGACGACCAAACTACGCATTCTGTGGAAGAACGAGTGTCCCTCATGGTCTTTAATTGCTAGATTGCTGGGTTTGTTGCAGAATTCGACGACCAAACTGGAAATGCTCGGTTTGGAACAATACAGCGCAATCAAGAAAGACTCCTTCTTCTCGGAGCAGTGGTGAGGGTGGGAGCACTGACCATTGGGTGATGTCGGAAATACTTTCTGGGAAAATCAGGTGCCCGAAGTCAACCAACATTCCCGTTTCAATTTTCAGATGCCCCATCCCCAATTGGAAATAATGGAAACATATAAATAGGGCCAAGTAAGTTGTCAACAAACAACCAACGACCTCACCGCCGCTTGTCTCACATTTGAAAGTTTTAGTTTGATCTCTATGCCCGGAAGAGTGAATCCTTGTGATATCGATCGATCCAAGTCCTACGATGCGCCACGCATTTGATTCTTCAGAATCGTAGTGGGGTTTTGAATGGGATACGGCCTATACAATGAATTGCGGTGGCCAGGCGATGTACAAGTCAGTGCTTTTGTCACACAGACGAGTCCGGCTCCAATTAACCGACCCCGAAGGTCCTGGGTGAGTATCAGTTCGGGATTCAGTCTCTTGATGACATGGCAGGGCGCCTTTTTGCAAACCATCGCCTCCGCCAAATTGGACTGCACCACACTTTTTATCGCTTTTCATTATTGAGCCCCGGTTCTCCGACTTTGGATAGATAAAAGTCTTGGCTGACGGGCCTGATCGTATTCGTTTTGCAACTTATTTCTGAACGAGTTTCTCGTCATGAGAATTGATAATAGGGGACGTCACTTTGCAAGTTTCCATTCGATTTAAAACTCCTGTCTTCGCTAACTTATTCACTTATTCCAGAAACTGACCTCGGCTCCGTCTTTCTGCGTTTTTAAATGATTCTAGTTGGAGGTAGGGATGTGTTTGAACTCCGATACCCTTTAAGAAGACCTTAAAACCCACAAACAAATCCTGGCTTACCAAAACCCTTCTGCAACTAAATCCCTCCGCAGACATTAGTCTTTTACAGCCGATAGATGTGATTTAGGTACCGCCGACTAAATCTCCTATGATGGATATAATTGCGACGAAGGAAATCATCAATCACTTGCGACTTCGTCCCGATATTCATAAGCTGTCTTATGACTAGACAAATGTGTTCGACATAGACCTCCACGCGGAATCATATACACATATTCCCAGAACAACGAGCTATTGGGTGAGCCACAGTATCAGGATATTCCCTTGAAAGTAATTACTTTATTAGGCCAATCTCGAACTGGAAAGAACACCCAGAGTTCCAGTACTGTACCTCCAACTCGGGCTATCATAGTTCGGAGCTTCCAGATATTCCACAAAAAATAAAGTGCTCCACAAGATCTCATCATTCTCCTGGTGTACGCCATGCACTGGAATTCCATCACAGTTGTGGGAATTAATGATTGGGTGATTAATCCTTGGATGTTCTGGGTGGGTAGGCTAGTGGTCAAGAAAGGTCAAAGAAATTGTCCTGGGAATGTGAGGTCTTTTGATTGAGACAGGAACAGACTGCGGATGAGGTCTACGGGGTGTTCTATTGGCAGCGCCGGTACTTGCCACCACATACCATATCCATGTCCACCTATGTGCGTTTCCTTCTGTAAGCGACGGAACTTCATCAACAGGGGTTGAGTAGGCAGGGGATAGGAGTGATAGTTGAGATCTTTGGTTACCGATGTCCGCTTAGAATAAACTACTGTACCTTGGCCTATGGTTCCTCTTGGCCGCAGATGAGCCATTATATCTAATGGCCCAGCTCAGCCATCACAAGTGAGTGGCCCCGTTTACCTGATCAACTCCAGGATACAGCCTAATTCCGGCAATCAGTTTCCGGCTCGGTCAGCCAGCTATATGTTCCACATAAAGGCCCGGAAAAACTTGTGATTGACATCATTGCTCAGAATAAGGATTTCGAGGAGTGGAGGAGGATGACAGGTACTACTTCAGCTACACACCAAACAAAGTGGTGATGACAGAGCAGCTACTGGCTAGGAATCGAAACGAAGCATTCCATGGGTCAGTCCAGGGCTAATTACTGCAAAGTGTCTCTATGACTACTCCAGAAGACTTCTTCCTTTTTCCCATCATTTTTAGCCTATTTCTAGCTAACAAGTTTTCAAAAAATTGAATAGACGCAGCCAGTTTTTGTTGGGACCCTTTCAGCGGAAAGGAAATTACCCCAGGCCCCAAGGAGGGCGAATTGACTCAATCAACAAGATATGTTCTAAAACTTACCGCTCACTAAGAAAAGAATATACAGGAACTGCCAGAAGTAAGGACAACGCCAAATCGATGAGCAACAGGATCAATAGTGGTAAATGGCTCGGATTGTCCCTAAAAAAGTAAATTCCTCGATTTGTTGAATCAAAGGACACATGGTTTGATAAAATAGAGAATTAGATTAATTTATAGATCAATTAGAAAGCTATTCAGAGTGCTCAAAAGAAAGGTGAAATTAATTTAGTCTGATTATCAGATCTAGATGACTAGGGAAGCGATAAGAAAATGAATGGAACAAACCGAATTGAGCGTCCTTTCTTCTTATTCAGTAATGGAACTAGAGAGATCACATTGAGAAATACCGGTATTGAAGCTGAAATAAAAGAGATTAGGCTATACTCAAGTCTTTCAAATTTCTATTATAAAAATAGTAATCAATTTGAAATTTTTCAGATTTATTTCCTCCAATAATTACCAAAATCATTATAACCAAAAAATCATGGAACAGTATAATACTGTTAATCACAATAGCGGAATAAAAGCCTAAAAGAAGTCTTAGAGCAGCACCACCCTGTTCTTCAATCTGTTTTAGAATCGGAGAAGTAATTTACCTTTTTTTTCCACAAGCTTCCTATATGAAGCTTAACAAGTTAGCTAGAGAATTGCATTTTTGTATTCTCACAGTTCAATTGCTGCCTAAACAAGGCAATTTCAGGAAAAACTGTCCGAGTGTAAAATCAGTACCTTTAACCCAATAACAGACGAGTTTCTGGGAATAGAGCTTGTGGGAGTGAGGTCTTTGCTCGCCTCTGTTGGGTTTCAGTAAGTATTTGTTCTTTTGGGTATACCTGCGGTAACAATTCCATTTGACATAGTCAGGCAGGACAAAACTACTTGCTTTCGCTTTGTTTACATGATAAGTACCCTTCGGAGGTGGGTGGCGGAGGGACTGTTGACGGGCAAGAAGTGGGCTATGAGCATAGACGGGATATCGTATCGCGGTTTGAAGCCAAGGAAGCCTTCTATCCCTTCTGCGCAGTTCGTTGGTACCAGACCTGTCCGGAAGGATAAAAGTACTGATTCGTACCTTGTCTGATCACCGCGATCCATTGCATACCTCTCATACGCATTCAAATGCATTTCGATTCTGAACGAAGGCAAAATGTGATGGCGCATCCCACAAGCGACATTGACCAGTGTCAAAAGACTGTGGCTTTTAGTTCCTCCAGCACTTGACAGGAGCTGAGATCTACAGCTATATGTTAATCCTTCAAAAACGCTATTAGGATGAGGCTCTTTCACGGTGGCCCCGCTTCATTTACTGACTCCATGGAATGCCTCCTGAATTTCGAGATATTTACCATGTCGAAATTCAGTAGCCATTTTTCCGAGCACAACGGTTGCATGCAAATATCCTGTCCAGAATGCTAAGTCATCCCCTTAAAAAGAAACCATGTTGAGCAGCATTTCAATTAAGCACGGAATATGATGGAACCGAGTGGGCGAAAATGGATTCTGCAAAGTATTGAAAATTTAATTTGGGCAATGTCCACGGTTGAATCTTGGTACGTTAACAGCTTCAGGCTTCTTTTATGCACATTTATCTTCATACCCTTTGTGACTGCAAACTTTCGCCTCATAAAATCAACATTCTGGAAGTCACGGCGGTTCAGTGCTTGTGTCC